CCCTTAAATAAACTTCTTTGATAATAAAAAAAAAAAAAAATGATTGTGTGTATGTGTGTTTGTGTGAAGGTAAAGAAGGTACCTAAAGAAAAGAAAAGAAAAAAAAAGAAAAATAGTCCTTGAAGGAGAGAAAAATGATTTTAAAATTCTACCTTTTTAAAGGCGATCCAACTTATCCCCCTGCGTGATTTAATTCTTTTTTTTTTTTTTTCCTTTATTTATTTTATTTTTATACCAATTTTTCTTTTTCTCTCTCTCTTTCTTGGATTTCATTTAGAAATGGCTGTGTCATCTCGAAAAAAAAAAAAAAAAGGAAAATATATGATTGGAAAGATGGTCGGTCGAAATCGATGAGAAGAAAAAAGAAGAAGAAAAAAAATGCGACAGAAAGAGACAGAGAAGGAAGATAGAAGGTAATCCTTCGTCCTTTTAGGGCTCACCCTTCGATAACGATTCGCTTATCTTTTCTTAGAAGAAAAATTCTATGGCGTTTCCTTCCTTTTTCTCTTCTTCTTCTTCTTCTTCTTTTTCCTTTGATTCGTTGGACTCAAAGCGAGCCCTTTTTCAGGTTGTGCGTCGAATCTTCAACTTAAGTTCTGTTGTATCTGTGTGTGTGTATGTGTGTGTGTGTATGAAAGTAGAAAAAAAAAAGAAAAGGGTGTTTCAGGCAGAATAACTCTCAAATTCGTGATGAAGTAAAGTAAATGTGAGGTGAGAATAAGGGATGACATGGAAAGGGGGGGAAAAAAAAAAGATCGAAGATTCCGGGTACACTGTGCCACGTGCGTAAATTTGAGAGGGTGATTTCTACCCTTACAAAAAGAAAAACCACCAGCTCTTCTTCTTCTTCTTCTTCTTCTTTTTCTTCTTTTTTTCTGTCTCCCTGTCTTCGTCTAACTTTTTTCGACCCTTTGAAATCCTTACCGATGATATACCTTTTTCTACCTATTTCAAGGTCCTACTTTTTATCCTGGATTAAAAGAAATATGTAGAAAATATCATCCATCCTCTTTTTTTTTCTTTTTTTTTACATTTGAATATTATTCTACGTCAAACTATTTCAAAAACAAATTTTCTAACTTTTATGAGAAAATTCCATACAAGTTTATATACACCAATTGAAATCTTTTAAGAAAGAATTTTATGTGTTTGTAATACTTGCTTTTCTCATTTTTATAAATGTCCTAGAAAATATACGAATGGGGTTTTTACATTTTATTATTTGTTATAATAAAATGAAAAGAATATGAAAAAAAAAACATTAGATTAAAGTAAAATATTGCGAATCGATGCAATTATAAAATATGAAAGTTTACAATAGAGACAACTGTAACAGATATTATCTGTATTGCAAGTTAGTAGAAGTTTATACACCAATTGAAATCTTTTCAAAAAGAATTTTATACGTTTGTAATACTTGCTTGTCATTTTTATAAATATCCTAGAAAATATACGAAAGGGGATTTTACTTTTTATTATTTGTTATAATGAAATGAAAAGAATATGGAAAAAAAAACATTCCATTAAAATAAAATATTGCGAATCGATATATAAATTACGTGTCACGTTGTTTGTCCACAATGGACTCCTAAACTACTGAACCGATTTTAATAAACATTTTCCACATTGTGCGCAGTTTCATTCAACTTGAAAGATAGGATAGTTTATATCTCAATTTATAATCGCAATATTATTTTATTGCAAATTATTTGTTTATTAACAAAGTGCATCGAACTGATTGTGAGCCACAGCAAGGCGTTGCGAGTGCACCCCTAGTAAAATATAAATGTTTACAATAAACAAAACTGTAACACATATTATCATTATCGCAAGTTAATATAAGTGTATTTTATTTAAATAATTCATTCGACATTGGAGACTGATATAAGCCACAAGCCCCGGAGTATTATCGGAGTATACAACGTCGACAAGATGGATGATAGATGAACGTATGTATGTATGTATCTACGTTCCACTCGTTTTCATCGTAAATTCGATGCTTGTCGCACTGGAATTAATTTGAATAATCTACATTTTGCGCTAGAAACTTCCGTATAAAGGCAAACGATGTTATATGCCTGAACGACGTTCAACGAAAAACCATACTCACATACATCTACACACACACACACGTTCCTATAAGTAAATGTAGATTAAACATCCATTGATAAACGATTAATGAGCTCTTTAATACGATATTAATTGACTAATTAATATGTCAAGTAATTATTCATGTCAATATTATCTATGTAAACATTCAAAGTGATCAATTTAACATTATTTATCAAAAATCACTAATCTCCAATTGAATTAAACATATCTCTGTGTTATAAACAAAATGTAATTTCATTAGGAAACATTTTATTATTTCATTACTTTTTCATGAATATTATTATACGAGTTAATAATGTTTGTTTGAAAATCTCGTATCGATGATAGATGATAATTTGTATAAATTGTTATCTAAATTGTTATCATAAATAACACATAATTACATACTTGCGTCAATAATGGTATCACGTAACCTTTCACAACGCCTCGTTGTAACTCGAACTAACGTTAATTAAAGGTCGAAGAAATAACGTTTGAAAGACAATAGGAATCTTAAAGTTAAAGTGCGAGAGAAAAATAATTATTCGCTTTAACGAAGCGAGATTAAACGTGTTCCGCTTTTCAGGACAATGTTAAATCTGCACGTGTGTGTTGTTTTTACAAATAATAATAATATATTAATAACAGATCTAATAATTTCTAGCGTGTTGATCGAACCGTGTTATATTCATATGTATCTATGTATTATTATCTAATTGTGCAACCATTACGATTATGAATATTTTTTCCCCTATCTTTTTTCTATTTTTCTTTTTTTTTTGTTGAATAATCTTTTCTATCTTCCGTTATCTAATCCCGTTAAATGTGTTTTCTTTTTTTCTTTTTTTTTTTTTTTATAAATTCCGAACAATTTCAAACTAATTTGTTATTCGATCAAATTATCCATACAATTATCAAGAATATTATCATTAATAAATTACCACGAATTGTTTCAAATACTTGGAATATTTCGATTAATATAATCCTTATTTAATTATCGTTATTTTATTACAATAAACACAGGGATTCGTTATCGATGAACTTTAAAACGTAATCTATAAGAGAAACTCAATTGGGAAACGTTGCTGTTTCTCAAGCATGGAGATTGAGAAAAGAGTTGTTCACCATAATAGAGAAAAATATAATGTATGTTATATGATTATCCATTACATTTGTGAGTTTGCAATCTGTGAGAATTGGTTCGTATGATTTTAATCAGATAGATGTATAACAAAGTATAAAATAGGTAATATAGAATTGAATAAACTGAGTTTGTAGTTTCCCAAATTACAAAATAAATGAGAAAGAATGTAAAACATTGAAGAACTCTCGTAAGCAATTTCTATAAATTAGAAATAAAAGTATCTTCTATATGCATTTTTGTTTTTGCATAGAATTGCATAGAAGATCGTAAACATTGGATATCACAACGAATTTCGTGCTTTCGATCTATTTTCTTCTCCTCCCCGTTCGTTTATTTTTCATTTTGTTTATTTACTATTTCGTATTTTTTATTTTTATTTTCTTTTTCTTTTTTTTTTTTTTTTTTAGGATAGAAGATCCGCAGCCGATCGTATCGATATATCAATCGAGAATGATAGTTATGGTTTCGATATGAAGTTACACTCTTTCCATACGGATTTACGTTCGATTTATAGATATTGGTTGAACAATACGTAGAGGAAAACAAAAAAGAGAGAGAGAGAGAGAGAAAGAGAGCTTTCATTACAATTACTATCGATATATACATCGATTTTCTCTGTGTATAGAAAGAGAGGAAAACTAAACGAACGATAAATCCGTAACACATTCAAATTGACAGAAACAAAATAGCTCGCAAATCGTCGAAAGTGATCGTAAAGCGAAATATGTTACATTTCAAATGTGAAGATAATTGGGTCCAGCAAACATTGAATCCATCCATCCATCCATCCATCCATCCAGCCACTCTTTCCTTTCCTTTCCTTTCCTTTGCTTTCCTTTCCTTTCCTTCCCTTTTCTTTTTGTATAATAAATGTGTCAAGCTAGATAAAGCAGTGTACAATACTTAGATCGTTATTTATTTATCGTATTTTATCTTTTACCCCATCACACAAAGGAGTTGAAAATTACGAGGAAACTATGCGCGTAATTCTCGATGAATGTTTCGCGTCGCGACGTCGACGTCTACGTCGACGACGACGACGACGACGACATTTGCGTTGGCGTAGTCGTTGAGTTTCTAGTCGCTTTCATTTCTATGACTCATATATTAATTACAAACTCTTTAGAAAAGCACAACTCACGTTGAAGCGTGACTCAAAGAAGTAAAGACGTGCCAGTAAATCTTTTTTCCTTTTTTTCTTTATTTCCAACCCGACAAATTTTCCTTTTGCAATTCTCGTTAATAATATAGAAAAAAGAAAAAAAAAATATGCAAATATATATATATAAGAAAACAAAATAATCCTATGAGAAGGAGGAGTGCTTTCATTTTAATCTAAAAGCAACTTAAAAGCAACGTCAAAATCTTCTTGAGAGAGATTTTCAGAGAGACAAGATTTTTCTCTTTAATTAAGAAAAAAAAAAAAAAAAAAAAAACATACTTTTGTTCTTTCACGATACGATATAAAAATGATTTTATTAATTATTTAATGTCACAACAAAATGATCGTGTTATCACATCGTTAACAAACGTGTGTCTTCTTCTCCATATCTAACACACATAGATATATACACATCGTGGACATTGATTTAAAGTAGCTGAACAAAACAAACACATGCATATTAATAAGATCTCTTGGAAAAAATAAGTTGTGCATTTAAAAAAAAAATGTAATTTCAAAAGAGAGTCATGAATTTTTTCTACTATACTCTATAAAATCACATTAGCAACCTGATCGACTAAGGCAAAGAGGGCCAATGTTACTCACCCACTTACACTTATGTAATATTGTATCGCCTACACATGGACACGTCTGACGTGTCAGAGCGCACGTTGTGCACTATATTTGCATACTCGGTCCACTCCACGCGGAATCGCGGCCTCTTATGCACTGACAGAAAGTGAGATAGAGAGAAAGGGAAGAGGAGGAGGAGGAGGAGGAGGAAGAGGAGGACTTAACGAACGTGGCACGAATGAATAATTTACGGTCCACGATGTATAGCGTCTTACGGAACGCCACCGTTAAACCTACACTTATGTATTACATGCATGCATTTATACATATCGGTACATACATAGAAACATATAACATACGCATATATTTTAGTGAAATTCATATATATATATGTATATACGAATACATAGGTGCATTTAATATTTGCATAAAGTTACATACAGGGATAATATGTGTATGAATATACATACGCAAAGAGAAAGAGAGAGGGAAGAGGAGATAAATACGTAAAGATTATGTATGTATGTATGTATATACATACACATCTATGAATATATGTATACAAAGGTATATTTAATCGTCTTGGTTCTCTCTAACGATGTGACCTTAACTCTTTCTCTCTTTCTCTCTCTCTCTCTCTCTTTCTCTCTTTCTTCTTCTCTTTGTCCCTGTCCACGTATCTTCTCGACGACATAATAAATAATCTCTCTCTTTCTTTTTCTCTTGCATGGTATTCAGCTCGCGAACGAGGAAGAGGAGAGTCGAGAAATTATTGGTAAGCATAATGATGAATGAATCTTTGAATATACATATCGGCTTTCTCTTTTACCCATCTCACTCATCCCTTTTCTTTTTTTTATTTATTTACCATTTTATATTTTTATTTCTTCTTCTTCTTCTTCTTCTTCTTTATATCCAGCGTTAATTACGAGTAACTAAAGTAACATAAATACATGCAATTACTTGGTACTTAGAATGACAGAGATAAAGATTAGTATCATAGATTTGAGAGAAAACATAACAAGTTGTTCTATAGGAATTATTTTTTTTTTTTTAACATGTTTTAATACACAAGTATCAGATGAAAGATTAAATATCTTTTTTCGATTAGTTTTACAAATAGATCTCAATATGATTAAACAAATATGATATATATGCGTTTATTTTTTCTGCTATTTCACTTGTTCGTTATCGTAAGGGATGTTTTAACCAAACGTTTGTTTATTTTTTAAGACTAGATAAGAAAAAGAAAAAAAAAATAGGAGAATAGTTTGCATTATGAGTTTGACCTAACTTCACGTGAGAAATAGGCCTTGGTATAATAAGTAATTTCTGACATTTCTTTACGACGAGTATACTTTGCCCATATTCTTACAGACTAATGCATTCTCTCTCTCTCTCTCTCTCTTTTTCTTTCTATCTTTATTTCTGTACCTTTATTTTTTATCATTTCACATTGAATTCTCATAAAAATTCTCAACAACAATAACCATCGATAGATTTACGACGAAACTGCATTACGTTATATACTTATTTATACAGAATACATATATATAGAGAGAGAGAGAAGAATACATGCTAAGATAGGTCGAGGTTTCAAGATACATACGTGCTCTAGAACTTTATCTCTGCTTTTATCTTCGTGTCAAAGAAATAGCAATAAAACCGAACTTCATCCCAAGGAATTTATATTCATATGCTAGGTGTAATCATTTTTTGAAAATAAATACAAATATTTTGTTTACAAGGATCGAGTCAATTATTGGCTGTAACTAAAAAAAAAAAAAAAAATTATCTTAATTATAAAATTTAGATAATAATATAATTTATAAAATATAGATAAGAATTGTCACTAATAAATAATACGCAATTTAGTTAAAACATTGACCCAATTCAAGATATTCGAAAGAGCCTTGTAGTACCATACTCACTAATCATCTAATTTAAAGGTAAAATCAGGTAGATATCACATCGTCATGGGATATGCTCTTCTGTTGCATAATAAAAAAAGTAGGGAGATTTAAGAGCGTAAAGAGGGATGAGAGTGAACTGGGGTTGAGAGTTTTAGGGGTTTGAGAAATAAGCATCCTTATTTCTCTATGGCTTTACTAGGATTTCGTATCTTACCCTTACCTTATTCACTCCCCCTAGCGCATTTACGCAAGATTATTTTTTACCTGTTCGATAGAAGAAAGTAAGAAAGAAAATAAGAAAGAAAGAAAGAAAGAAAGAGAAATGATATTCCTTTTGCTCAGATGACAAATGCAAAGAAGATATTTGAAAAAAGGATGCTCGCATAAATGCAAATTGTTATTTGCCCATATTTTATTTATATCCAACCTTTGATCTTAATCCTAAGATCTCCTTTTTCTTCTTCTTCTTCTTCTTCTTCTTATGAATACTTCAAAAACATTGTATTTACTTTTTAGAATACGTTGCAGTTAATATATATTAGTAATATTTGTGTTTGAGAGAAAAAAAAAAGAGAAAGGAGGGAAGGATGTAAGTTTACATAAGCTGTAACCACCAAAACGTGCATGGTTGACTCGTAATACGAGAGGCATAGATATGAAGAGATCTCCAAAGCTTTTGAAAATAATCCTAATGGTAGTGACGTCAGGCTAACAAGTGGAAATTCAGAAAGTAACGTTGGACTTCTTAACGAGAAGTTGAAGCAAAACGCTGGGAAAGCAAAAGAGTGAAAGAGAGGGGTTAATGCATTTTAAATGGTACGAATTTTCTCGGTGGTAGATGCATTCGACGAAGGATCGAGAAAATCTCGAAAGAAACCAAGTGTAACTAAAACCTCTTTTTAAATTCACCTTTCTACTTGTCGACCATATCTTTTTCCTGTTCTTCTTATTCTTATTCTTATTCTTATTCTTCCACAAAGTTACAAATAAAAGTATTCTTTTTTCTTGAATCATTTATGAATGTAAAAATATGTTATCGATTATCAAAGTATGATCTATGACTACCAGTGTTAGAAAAGAAATGGTTTTATTAGAAAGTTCTGTAACAGCCCACAAGTACGTTTTCACTAAAAAAAGAAAAAAATGATACTCACCGTCACGCAAGGATTTTTCTCGAAGTTTACGAGAGTAGTACTTTTCTTTATCCACTTGTGCAAGTTTATTCTATTGTTCGAAGTCAATGCAAGTGTACCGTAACGAGACGTTGTTTTCCCCCCATCTTACGACGAGTTAATCGACATCCTTCCGATGCGAACAATGGTTCAACGTTCAAACGAAAATATAGGAAGATTTAAAAGACGATAAAAGATACTACGAGATGAGAGAGAGAGAGAGAGAAAAAACAAAGTTATGAAATGAAGTAGAAAAAGTTATAAAAAAAATTTGTCCTTAATTAAATACTACACGTTTTTGCCATAAGAAAGTACGTGATATTTGTAAAAAGATTGTATTACCTTTTGCATAGCATCAGAGAGATTACAGACAAGTTAGATAGAAGATTTCAGTAGTACGTGTCGTTGTATAGTCAGACAATCTTCCTTAGTCGCGCAAGAGAAACAAACTATCTTTTATCTTCTTCTACATTCGAACTTGTTTTCTCAATGATACCGAACATAAACGTAAAAGGAAGTGTATATTCCGAGTTCTTATCGAATCCAAATTTCCTTTTCTCGTTAAACGCGTGGGTTTAAGATATTCTTGATATTTCTTTAAAGTAAAATAAACATGTGAATATATTTTAGTTTAGAATTCATTTATAACGTAAAATAAATCGTAAATAGAGATCGATTATACAGATAATTATGATTTTTCAACTAGAAAACAAAAGTAAGAAGATCTATCAAATAGATTATAGAATATTGTGTATTAAATGTAAGGTAAAGGAATAATCAAAGGTAATTAGGAAATAGCAGGAAAGACATAAAGATGGTAGGATAGGGAAAGAAATAGAAGAAGGTAAAGTCGACCGACTGGAAGTTTAACGAACTCGAACAAAGAGAAAACGTTCTCTCTCGTTGGATAAGGGACGAAGATTGACGAATAGGGTGCTGCTACCATTGCAAAATGGTAGGAGTTCACGTACTATACACGTTTCATCCTTCTCTTTCTCTTTCCCTCTCTCACTCACTTACTCACTCACTCACTCTCAGTTTCCCTTGTACGTTCGCTAACTCTCGCTCCCTCGTGATAGAAAGAGAGAGAGAGAAAACCACCCCCATAACACTCTACCCCCTTGGTGCTGTATCGATCCATCGCCATGTCGGTTTCGTACCAAACCACCCCTCATTCGAAGCACAACCCCTCTCCAATTCCCCGTGCCTACCAGAAACTTCGGCACGTCGCGTGGCGGCGAGAATCGAACAAAGGAAGCGTAAACCCGACAAAGAGAACCAACCAGCCCGATTTTCTTTCTTTCCTTTCTTTCTTTCTTTTTTTCTTTCTTCACCCTAAACATCCATCCTAAACATCCACCCTCATCTATTTCTTTTTGCAACTTGGAAAGTATCATTCTATCGAAGAATTTTCTTCCTCCCTTTTCTTTTTCCAAATATGATTTTCGATGGAAAAGTATCTGACCAAATCGAATGAAAAACTTTGACTATTCTTTTCTATAACATTTTTCTTGATTTTTCTTCTATTGAAGGAAAGGGCAGAAGCTATTTGTAGTTGAAACTCTTTTAATAATAGAATTATCTTATTAGATGTTATTATTATTTATCTTTTAATATAAAGTTTATATTAATATGAAAATATTTGATCAAATATATAGAAAGTGAACGTATTGCATTCGATTGATGGTAGTAGTTTTATTTGTCTATTTTTTTTCCATTTCGGGTTCCCCATAATCCGGACCATCATTGTCCTCCCATGAGTCCCTTCGATGTGTCATGGGAATTCTCGCGATTATTCGTCCTTCCTTTTATGCGCAGTGTGCCAACACCACCCTCCTTTTTCCAGCTCACTCGATAACCGAGAATAATAAGGGGAAAAAGTTATCGAGGTCGCGTTCGCGGATTTACGATTAAATGTAAATCTCATTGTATGAACTCTCTTTGTATATGTGTGTGTCTCTAAACATGGGTGTGAACATATCCATATAAAATTTCAGAAAAAAAAAAGAAAAAAAAGAATTACATCATCGAAATATCACGATACAATTTTGTTGAAATAAAAAAAAAAAAAAACCCCGATAAGATAAGATAATTAAAATTAAAACGAACTACGTAGATATTTTTGTGTGTTCCTTAGTTATATTATAATTATTATAATTATTTTAGAATTATTATTATTTTTTATTATTATGTTTTATTATTATTTTATTATTACTTTATTGGTATTTTATACAATAAATTTAAATAATGTAAACTTATATTTATATATTTATATATAGAACATATGTCAAAAATTATTGTTTTTTTTTTCAAAATTTTATTATTTTTGTCAGTACGTAAGTGTAAGAAACAGGAAAAATATGCCAGTATTATAGAATAGAAACATATTCCCGTATGTTTAGATTTCTTCATCCACTTAACGAGTTGGAGCTTTTACCACGAAACGAAATGATTTTGGTCGAACCGATTTCATAGTAGATAATTACACGGTACGCCTGTACACCGCTATTTCCCGCTTGTTAAAGGTAAACCGCAAATTACGAAGCACCGCCGCGATTTCCACGGAAGCGTTTCTCTTTCATTAAAAGCCTTCGACTTCGATTAAAAAGGAAAAAGAATGTTTTACAAGGAAACGAATAAAAATTAAAAAAAAAAACAAAGTTCGATATAAGTTTTCTTCTTTTTCTTTATACAACTAATATCTCCGGATATTTCTTTCTCTCTCTATTTCTATGGAAAATAATAATAATAATAATAATAATAATAATAATAATAATAATAATAATAATAATCAGAAGTATAGGAAATATTTCTAATTTTCGAAATATTCGTTCTACCTTTTGTTTAGAATTCATTTGATCTGATTCTTTCTTTTTTTCTATTACCATTCTTATTTTTTTTTCTCATGTAGAAATTCAGAAATTAACCCTTTGCACTTGGGGAGGTTATTGCAATGTATAAAATAACTGGTCATTCATATTAGAACCCTTTTTTATATATAGAAAAAATTCTTCTTCTTCTTCATATAACATGTATTTGAAAAATATATAAAAGTTGAGGAGTATGAGTAAAACACTTCTCTCTCACACATGAGAAAATTTCATAGTGATCTTAGGCAGCAGCTTATAAAAAATGTAAAAGACCCTTTGATCGACTTAAAAGGAAAGCATTTGTGTGAAGAGATCATACTTGGTTGGTTTACGACCATACTTTTCATCATCGACAATGCATCCTCTTATGTTTATGATACTTCAAATATACCTTAATCTTGAGACACGTCGTTATATATAACTATACATATGTATAAGAAACGAAAACACATTAATCTTCGAAGTATTATCGATAAGAGACTCGATTTTTAAAAATCGATAAATTTGTTCGTATGATCAATGATCGATCTTATCTCATTTTTCCATGAAATGTGACGATACTTAGATTAAAAACCATATTGATAACGTTTATATTTATCTATTATTATATATATATCTGTTATATACTTTCAATAATTTTGACTTTTGAAGTTGTAAGGAAGACAAACATTTGTGTTAGAATTTTGTGCTTTTTTTTTTGTTTTTTTTTTTTGCTTTTGAAGCATAAATATAAATAGTTAACCCTTTGAATGCTGAATACTTTGAAACTAAAATGTTTTGTAGGAACGAAATAATTTATTATTAATCAGATTCTAATAATAAATTAATGGGTATAATAATAATTTTAATATATATTATATAATATAAATTTAATAATAATTTAATTATTATATTACCGATCCTGTGCTGCCTCTATCCAGTTAGTCATTATCCTTTTGATATCGTCTGTCCATCTGGGGTTGGTGGACGGCCTCTACTTCTGTATACGTCTTGGCACGGTCTCCATTGAAGTATCCTTTTTGTCCAGCGATTGTCCGAAAGTTGCGCCATATGACTGGCCCAGTTCTAATTTAAGGTTGTTATACGGGTAACCGCGTCCGTCACTCTGGACCTCTCTCTTAATGTTATATTTGGGATCCTGTCTCTTAGCAATATACTTAACATCAACCTCTCGATTTTCCTCTGCGCGATACTTATTCTATTTGTGGTGTTCTTTGTGAGGATAAGTAATTCAGTTCAGCCCGACAGAATACTGTGAGTGAATTAGGTTCCTAGAATAAAATAACAACATCCTACTGATAATTTATTAATCAACTTACATGACGATAAATAGTCATTATCATTAAGTTGAGTCTAACATTACTGTTAGAGTAAAATTAGCGACTGAGAAATAATCGATCGGAAGTGCGTATGTTGTTTGAAATTATATCTATTTAAACTGAACTAACGAGTTCCAGTGAAAAAAGATAAGTCTGTTTAAAGATAACGCGTTCAACATGTCTATACTATGATTTTGTTCTTGTCAGTTACGCCCAGACCGTCGCACGCTAATATCATAAAACGTTAGTTGTCGTTTAACATTAAATCAAGTTTTAAACTTAAAAGTTTATTAAAATATAGGAACGTTATCTTATCGATTAATCAACGCAACAAAATGCCAGGTATATATATTTAACATTAGGTATATATATATAATAAACATTAGAAACTTGATTTATATTCTAAGTAATTTTCACATTTAACTAATATACGCATCACTTTATTTTCAACTCGTATTTTGACACCTACAGGTATATCGTAATTCAGATAAATCTTATCTAGATTTGATATCTCAAGCGATATGTGAGTGTGTGTTATAAGTAAAATATTATTAACACATTCGCGGTCGGCATAGTTTTTTCGTTTCTTATACTAAGTAATGGCAAAAATAATGAAATTTTGGAAAAATAATAATTTTTACATGTATTCTATATATAGATATATAAATATAAGTTTAAATTATTTAAATTTATATTTAAATAATAAAATATAATAATATAATAAAAAATATAATTATTAGAATATTATATTTAATATTATATATATATTAAAATAATATAATAATACATAATATATAATATTTAATTATATTATAATATATAATATTTAGATATTATATTTAAAAAAATTATATATATAATATATAATATATAAATTAATTTTTATTAAATTTTCAAAATATAAAATGACGTGAATCAGCGGTAACTAGGAATAGAACTTGAAAAGACGTGAATTCAACGTCAACGGTTGCGAATGTGTTAAAAGAATAGAAAATTTCTCAACAAATTTCAATTGTTGAGAGAAAAATATAATAAAAAAGAATACTCCATTTCAGGATATAAATGGGTTCCTTATCATCACGGTGTAAGATGTTACTGGCAACCAAATATGATTACAATTGGTAGAGATTTAGATGGTATGAATCTTGTAGTTGGTCGTGCAAGACACCATGGCGATGTTTTACCAGCTAAAGTTAAACCAGATCACAGTGTTGCTTATGTCTCTTACGATGGGGGTGAACATATGAAACACGAATATGAGGTATATGAAATATTTCAATAAAATTCTAATGAAATACATACACCATTGAGATATTTTAGCTTTCAATTTTGTACACATTCGAGTTGTTAAAAGTAGTTTTAAATTTGTAAATGTTGATTCTACGAATAAACAGATGATTAAGGAAAGACAAAGTAGAATTTCTTGGTAGAATATTATGCAAATGATTTCACACATAAACATTGAAATCTTCTGTTTGCTATAATACTTTCAAGTATTAGTAAGGAAGAGTGAAGCATGACTAATTAACGCTATTACCATGTATAATAATTTATTTGCACTGACACGATATTATAAAGAGGATTATAGTTATTAAACTTTAGTACAAATTGTGGTGTATATACGTATATATTATAAAATATATATATATTAACCATATTCCCTATCTCTTTACTCGAGAGACTAACGGAATCGATTAGAGCAAGTATTAAGTTACTCGAAGAATATCTATAAACAAAGTTTAATAATCTTCGTCGTCTATTCTCTGTCGATTAGATTCTAACAACAGCAGAATTCAAATGGATCCCTTCGAGTCATGGACATGTACCCGAACATGCTGTTGAAGCTGGTAGAACAGTCGATGGTGAAGTTTTATTCGTTGGTCGTACCTATCACAATGGTGTTCCTTGCGTTGGCAAAGTAATGTTTATATTCTTAAATATTATTTAAACCTTTTTCAAAAATAATTTTATACAAATTTGCTTGTTCGTTCCTACGTAAAGTCGTATTAGAACTTTTTAACCCTTTGAGTGGTGAATACTTTTACTTAAAATGTTTTGTAGGAACAGAATAATTTATTATTAACCGGATTCTAATAATAAATTATATTTAATCATGGAAGTTTTTGTTTTTTAATATAATTTAATTATTTAATATAAATATTAACACATAGTAATTTTTACCAAACGCATATATGCGTCCATAGCACTCAAAGGATTAAAGTAAAGCTTTCCACATTCATAGAAAAAAAGTATTTAATATAAGCAAGACTCCTATTTCTTTTTTTGTCTGTTTTAGGTACAAAGAAGTCATGGGGTTTTGTATATACCTTATAACGGACAGGAAATTCCTTACAGACAATACGAGGTCCTCGTTCAAAATTGATTATTACGTTTATTTTTCATTGCTTTAAATTTATTGAATTTATCGTAATGGAAAACTCATGGGGTGAGAAGATGGTTGTTCTTTTTGCAATATATTTATATATATATATACATTGAGACGATCTTCTGCGTTATCTGCTTTTGACAAAGAACTTCTAACGACGTGCTTAGTATGCGGATAAAAGTCATTTATCATCCCCGTTTCTCATCGGCTGAAAACGATCTCTGTGTTTCGTTTGTGGGGTTCATTCCTTGATCGAGAATACGAGGATGACTATTAAATTCGCTTCCATGTTGAATCGTGTACTTCGAAACTGTTGTTAAATCTTCCATTAAATTATTCGTTAAAAAAAGGTACACGGATCATTTAAAAAACAAAAAAAGTATTTTGTTTTAACACACTATCGGCGAGTCGGGTATTTCTACTTGTTCCACAGACTGGCGCTGGTCAGCGGGTCGCGTATTAATACGTTTTATGCAAAACACAAGCTAAGTTTCAGTAAAACACTTACTAATGCTTTACTGTGCTATTTTGACATTGCAAGTTTCGTGCTTTACAAAGAGTAGCATGAAATTCAGTTTGATTGATTTTGATTGCATTGATTTTAAGTTTTCTACATTTTTGAAATACTATTTGATAGCTATTTTTGAAATTTCATTGAAATCCTACTATTAGGTGTGAAGATATAACATGTTTTTCTAAAAAAAAAATGCACTGCTTTCATATTTCGTTCATTTTCGCGTGAGTCAAGCTCATGACGTTCCCGACGAGATTTTGATAAGCATTGATTTTAAGTTTTGTACATCTTCGAAATACTATTGATCTTTGAAATCCTACTATTAGATGTGAAGATATAACATGTTTTNCGTGAGTCAAGCTCACGACGTTCCCGACGATAGTGTGTTAATAATTCCCCCCTTTAAAAGATAACAAAAAAAACAAAAAAAAAAAAAAAAAAAAATGCACTGCTTTCATATTTCGTTCATTTTCGCGTGAGTCAAGCTCATGACGTTCCCGACGATAGTGTGTTAATTATATTTTACTTTTGTTACATAATTTGTTTAAATAACGAAGATACAATCGAACTTGAACGAAATTCAATTGAAAAGAAACCATCGATCTACTCTGACGAATAAATAAACGAATAGAAATAAATCTGACTTGTGCTTGCGTGGGATTTACTTTTCATTCTCTCTCTCTCTCTCTCGTTCGTTCGTTCGTTCGTTTCTTTGTTCCAGACCATTTTCTATGCGATAATTCAAAAAACTTAGACAACAAGAAATATAATGGAAAAAAGGAGAGCAACCGGTGGTCGTTTTCTCAGAGTACACCCGTTACGTGTTGGGCACGTGTCCGTTGCGGCATTACAACTCCCATGGACGGCACGTGGCCAGCCGGTAATTCCACCTCCCCTTCCCCGTCCCCTTCTTCTCCTTTTCTCTTTATACACCCCACACCCCGTTACTACCGTCATGGACACGTTCGTAGGGGAACGAAAGATAAGAAAGATAGAAGGATAAAGGCAACGCCATAACTAACAAATAAATATATCTCTCATAATCAATATTTAAAATAAAATATAAATATTATGAGATTTTTTTGGAACTTCTGGGGTTTCTTTTTTTTTTGAGCTTTTCTGGGTTGTTTCTTTGAGCTTCTGTTTTTACTTCAAACAAAAAACAAAATAGTAAAAGGGAGGAAAGAAAGGGAATAAGCTTTAATAAGAATAGTTGAACGTTGTTCATGCTATTTAATATTTTGATCGAAGTGAGATGCTACCCCACGAAGATTGAGAGAGGGTGGTAAAGGGGGTGATGTCCACGTGCAGACGATCCCTTTTGATTAATTTTGGTACGGATCGTCGCTCGAAACGTGGATGATTTTCAACAAAGGAAAATGCGTGTTGGAAAAAAGGGGGAAGGTGAATGAGTATGAGAGAAAGAGAAATAGGGGGGAACGGGAGGAAAGGGGAGACAAAAAAATAGCAACAGCTGGCACTGAGACGAGAATCTACGTAGGACAATGAACAACCCCCGTCCCACCCAATTCCCTCCCCTTTTTTCGACACTGGGGGTATATATATATATGCATGTGCGTATATACATGTATATATTATATTAGGAACAAGAGTACTGCTACCCTTCTTACTTTTACTTCGAAATCGTTTCTAACTCGTTTCGCGATTGAACGATTTGCCTGAAGGCAGAAGCATACTGATTATTCTCGAATGCAATTGTGAAACGAGAAAATGACAGAGAACACTGGGGGTGAGATTTATAAGACAGGGTGTGATCGATTCTTTTTTTTGTTAATTTATGAAATCATTTTCTTTTAGTCAATATAATATTGGATCTTTAAATCTGAGAAAAATAGAGAAAGAGATTTATTATAAAATAATATTACATATATATTATATAAGGGTTGTGGCAAGAAAGTAATTTCGGTAGTAAGTAAATATATATATTATTATATTATAAAATAATATGAGTATTTTAATATATATCTATATATTTTAAATATATAATATTATTGAGTTGGCAAGAAAGTATATTATATATTATATTAATTTATTATTATTATTAAATATAAATATGTTTTATTTATAAATTACTTTCCAGCCAACTTAATAATTAATTTATTGTTATTATATTATATTTATATTATATAATTTAATATAATTTATATATATATAAAATAATATTTCTTTTGCGGGAAAAAACAAACGTGTAAAAAGGCGTTGTTTCAAATAGGAAGAAATTGTTTTTGAAAATAATAACTTGACAGGGAATTTCGGCATGTTGGGAAAGACAACAACAAAAAACTGGATATGAACTAGCATCACGGGGATTTAATAAACGCGTTTCATCCATGCCGCATCCGTGCACTATCCGTGGCGCATCCGTAGCGCATCCGTGGCGCATATCGTCAGAAAATAATCCACATACACACGATTGTCTTTTCATTCGCCCATTCCTCTCCCACGAAACGCATATCATCATTCTACCTTTTATCCGTGTATGATGCATGTATATATGTATGTGTATATCGAAATCCTCGTTTATTGCGATTTCCTCTGGACACATCGATTCGTCACCATCGATATAAACGACTATGACGACGAGCGGAATTACGCGCTCGCGCGCACCATTGCCGGTCAAGCCTTTCCTCGTAACACACACATACACATACATACATATCCACACACGCTCGCGTTTATCTGGATAGATAATCTGCATCGAAAATCCAACGAATGCTTCTCTGTCTCGTTGAAATTCCAACAGTTTGGTAACTCTCTCGATAAAAAATAATCATTTCTTCGAGATGAAACGGCGAACAATATTTTTTTGAGGATTAAGTTATAATACAACAAAAATATATAGTAAAAAGGATATATATATATATATTGGGTTGTCATAGTTGGCAAGAAAATCATTTCGATTTTTTAGTGTGAACTAAAACTCAATTGTTTCTAAACTAACAGTTGTAAAGAAAATTATTTACACAGAATTTGTTTCTATAGCAACCTAAAAAGTGTCAACTACCAAACATCAAAAGAACAAAATTCTAACATAGAATAACGAAACAAACATAACTTTATTTATTGGTGCAAGCTCAAATTACTTTCTTGCCAACTCAAATAAAAATGGAGAATAACGTTTAGAGAAGAAAAAAGATATGAGTTTATCAATTATTTCATTCAGCACATTATTTGAAACTAAATAAATTCAAAATGTAATTTTAACGATTATTATAAACAAACGAGAAAAAAAATGAAAGACAGATGGAATATATGTATATCAAAAAATGTATTATTTTATCAGCGCAATAGTTCGATTAAAAAAAAAAAAAAAACGTTGACACGAGATTGGTGAGACTGGTAAAACGTAGACTTTATTTAAGGAATACAGGGCCCACTCGAATCTAGACGGCCCATATGGTGCAAGAGACACGAAATCCAGAAGCAGAATCGAGATATTCGAAAAGAGAGAGGAAAAGAGAGGGAAAGAGAGAGAGAGAGAGAGAGAGGACAGCTGCTCACTCGAGTCGATTCAAACAATTTCGCAGCTGCTGTTGCTGTTTCTTCTCTTGTCCTGTTAGCATTGGTACTGTTTTTCTTCTTGTAGATATAACACCTCTTTCATTATCAAACATTCACGTAAATTGTAACTTACGAATAAAAGCATCGTCATTTTGTTGAACCCCATATTGTGAAAACAGGAAAATTTAAGAAATAAATTTTCTATTTATTTTGCATGGATAATATAATTTCATTTTGCATATAATAAATAAATAAAATATACGAGCGAATATAAAATATTGAAATAGTTTATAGAAATATTGGATGGTCCAGTAAGTTCGTGCCGATTTTGACGAAAAAAAATATGTAAATATAAATTTTATATATATATATATATATAAAATACTAATAAAGTAATAATAAAATAATAATAATTTTGAAATAATATAAATTTATTTTTATTAAATTTTTAAAATGTAAAATGACGTGAATTCACGTCAGAGTTAGCGAATGTGTTAAATTATATATAAGTGCCATTCTGTTCTACACAACAACCTTTATCCATGCTTTAAAAATAATTTCAAAATTTCGTCCTTCTAGAACTTATCTTAGGTTTTTTTTATCAAAAGAACTTTATGTGCTACCTATCAAAAATCGGCACGAACTTTCCAGACAACCCAATAGCCTTGCAATAATAAATATCCATATGAAACGTTAAGTTATTTCACAGTTTATATATAAATGACTGTTATTAAGATGATGGGCACGGGTCAAAGAAACGAACAGGTTCCTCTTGTTGAGAATAGAATTTTTCTTTGGTATTGGAAGACCCAATTCATGGGGCCTCCTGCTCACTTTGGGCACCTCCCCTTTTTTATGAGGCTTCTCGTTGGTCTCCCTTAATACGTGTATATGCATGCTACTATCTGCCACGCTCTAATTTCTTTTTCTATCTCTCTCTCTCTCTCTCTCTCTCTCTCTCTCTCTCTCTCTTTCTTTTTTTTCTATAGAGTACATATGCATACTTTTATATATATATGTATATATATAAATACACATAGGATATGTCCGAGTTGCAGCTGCCTGACGCACGGGCCTCCTCGTGCCATCTGCCATAAGTGGTGAGTCTACCCGTACACGCCTCCATCACAGGACCCCAAGGTCCTTAATGGCTTCACGACAATACAGGGTGTACCAAAATTTAACGAATAATCTACCAACTTCTTCTTCTTCTTTACACAACTCCCTCCCTTTCTCCCTCCCTCTGGCTTTATTCTATTCGAATCTACTATAAAGTTTCATTCATTCTATGGGGGAGGGGGGAAGTAACTTTACAAACACTTATGTGTGTTTCCATGAAAATGAAAAATTCGTTGAAAGATTAACCCTTTGCATTGGAGGGTTCCGCTACGGACACAATAAAAAAAAAGTAAAAACTGCAACAAATTGAATTCACTTTGCAACATATCAAACATGTCATTTGTTTATAATACGTGAATATTATTATTATTTTTTTTGCTATTAAAATTGCTCTGTAAATTGTTGGTAATATGTGAAATAAAAAATATCACTTCGAGTGCAAAAGATTTAATTATAATATTCATATAATAATTGTATTTCTTATTTTTTCTTGATCATTTTCTCATAGATAATTGTAAAACGGTGGTTAATTGCGATATTATTGAATTGTTCGAACAATAATTTCACTTTTCTTTTGTAAAAATGATGACAATTTTTGCTTCGA